AGGCTGTAACCTTTCAGCTGCAGTTTGAGTAGGTTAATGTTTTTCACTTGAAAGGAATTCAGAAGAGGAGCATGCTCGGAATAAGAGAATTTCAGGCAGTATGTGGGGTTGAGAACGGTGCTGCTGTCGAAACTGAGTGTTCAAGCTGGCAGGCCCAAGCCTGCAGGGTTGGTTTCCAGCACATGCTGCCCCTTAACATTAAACAAAACACACACTGGGGGTGGGTGTGAGTGAAGAAACAATATTAAGAATTGTTATTGGGAAGAATGAGGATTGATGAATTCTTAAAAAACAAGATTGTGAACCAGGCGGTGGTGGTGGCGCATGCCTTTAATCCCAGTACTTGGGAGGCAGAGCCAGGCAGATCTCTGTGATTTCAAGGCCAGGCTGGTCTACAGAGTGAGATCCAGGGCAGGAACCAAAACTAAACAGAGAAACCCTGTTTCAAAAAACCGAAAAAAAAGAAAAAAAGAAAAAGAAAACCAGGATTGTGATAAAGCCATATGAAAGACAGAATGGGAAAATGTCTCAAGGACAACAGAATTAGGGAGGGATTCCATTTTGCATTTGAAAAGTGATTTGTAGGGCACATGCCTGCAATGCCAGCACTCAGGATTGCTGCAAGTTTGAGTCTAATCTGGTCTGCAAAGTGAGACCATGTCTCACCTCCTACTATACATACCAAGTCAAAGTAACACACACACACACACACACACACACACACACACACACACACACACACACACACACAGCCTGACAGGAAGAGGAGTGAGGTAGAGGACAGTATTTTGTTCAAAGTCCCGATCATAGAATTGTTTAATATTTATGTTACTAATTTATGCATCAAATGCCTTACATGGCCATCTGTTTGAAAGCATAAACATTTTTAAAAATTGGCTTTTGAGGGCTGGGGACATTGTTCTTTGGGTAGAATGCTTGCCTTACAATTGTAAGTACTGGACAAAGTCAAACATGATAGCAGGCACCTGTAATTCCAGCATTCATTCCTACAGCAAGGGAAAGGGGAATGGAGAATCATGAAATTTGGCAGGACTGATAATAGACAGTAGCAAACAGATGTTGTCAAAAACGAGGTGGAGAGGGAGGACTTCTACCTGAAGTTCCACTCTACCTCCACATGTATGATGTGCCATAAGTGAGCCCACTTTCTCTCATACAAAGATGAAAAACCAATTACTTTTAGCTAGTCTAGGCTTAGATGAGCTTCGGGACACAGACACATATATTTAACAGAAATACTTCAGCACAAACATTTTCTAATAGCTCTTTGCTTGACACACTAGTCACTGGAGGTATAACTTCTCTTTGTAAGGGTTTAGGGGCTACTTAAAATGCCACAGGATGGTCTGCCTGGCAACTGCCACCTTTTAAAGAAGTCATACAAAGGACGAATTCAGTACTCAATCTAAACTTTGAAGAGCAGTTATTTTGTGATGATTCAAGAAGGCGCTCGTTGGATGCCAGCAGCTTGATCCTTGGACTTCTTCACTTGCAGAACTGCTTACAAATATAGCTTGCAGTGTTGCTAATGCAGTAGACTATGACAGCATTCTATCTTTTGCCATACAACTTGCAGGCACATAAAAACTTGCTCTTTAAAGAATTTTAAAAAGTAGGGAAGCATAATCTTAAAATGTTATCTTAAAAAAAAAAAACAAAAGTTTACAAGGTCTTAATAAAAGTGACTGATAGTATTGTGTTGAAAATTATTTCAATTTGTAAAGCAAGAGTAAATACAAAATTCACAAAATATAAATTTCATAAAATCCCATAACTATGCTTTTTTAAATTCTTAATTTTATTTTTCTTATCTAGCTTTGATTTATTTTAATATTATTATTATTTTGCTTTTGTTTGTTTTTTCGAGACAGGTTTTCTCTGCATAGTTTTGGTGCCTGTCCTGGATCTTGCTCTGTAGACCAGGCTAGTCTTGAACTCACAGAGATCCGCCTGGCTCTGCTTCCCGAGTGCTGGGATTAAAGGCGTGTGCCACCACCGCCTGGCATTCTAGCTTTGATTTATAATCAAACAACTCTGCAATCCATCTGGATTTGGAGGGGAGTGGGGAAAGATATGGAACCCAGGGAGGATTTGTGAGAGCAGAAATTAATGGGTATTGTGAATGGAGAGGGTGGGGACAGTCTCCTGAGCTACAGAAGGAATGGCACATTGGGTAATATGCAAGCAAGTCAAAAAATGTAGCAGGAATCTTAAAAGTTCTTATTAATAAAATCAAACTTGAGGCCAGTTATTGGGGTGAACACTGGAAGGTCAGAGAGCCAGAACAAGCCACAGTTACCTCACCTCGCCGGATCCTCCGCTGGTCTTGTTTCCTCTGCTGGTCTTGCTTCCTCAACTGGAGGCCTCTGAGTCCTCATCCCAATGGCACTCAGCTGAACTGCTGCTTGAAAGCCTGAAGTTTAACCAGCTAAAAGCTTAACCAGCCAAATGCTTCTAGTTTCTGGTCCTCATGCCTTATATACCTTTCTGCTTTCTACCACCACTCCCTGGGATTAAAGGCTTGCTTTCTGGGATTAAAGGCGTGAGTCTTTAATCCCATGCTTGGCTGTATCCTTGAACTCATGGATTTCTGCCTCTGGAATGCTAGGATTAAAGGCGTGTGCTATCACTGCCTATCCTCTATGTTTAATATTGTGGCTGCTCTGTCTCTGACCCCAGATAAGTTTATTATCATGCACAATATTTGGGGGAATACAATACCACAAAAAAGTATTAGAGGTGTCTACTGTCAACAATGGAGATCACCTTGTTGGTTCCTGGACTCAAAATGTTCAATGGCTTCCATGACATTTACGTCTTTTTTCACCTTCCCAAAGATGTTTGACACCTAAGCACAGTCTTGGCAGCATAGATGAAAAACTGAGAAGCATTTGTTTGTCCCATTGTTTGCCATGAGCAAGATAAATGCTTCAGGATGTAGTTCTTATTCTCAAATTTCTTCCCACAGATGGACTTGCTGTCAGTGTCATTATGGTTTGTGAAGTCACCACCCTGGCACATGAGTCCTAGAATAATTCTGTGAAAGGAGGAAGTCTTCTCTCCACACTTTCCATGCAGTGCTCAGAATGAGGAAATTTTCTGTTTTCTTGCAACTGTTTGTAAATGGCTCAAAGGAAACACGACTGGCCGCCATGTTAGAGAACACATTGGGGTTGACCAAGGCTGCCAGCAAATGGCAATAGAAAACTCTTTGTGGGGCCCGCCACCCAACTCCCAAATAAATCATGCAGAGGCATATTCTTAATTATAAATGCTCGGCCTTAGCTTGGCTTGTTTCTTGCCAGCTTTTCTTAACTTTACATTATCCTGGCTATCTTTAGCCGGGCTTTTATCTTTCTCTATTCCTCTATACCTTTTCTTTCCTTCTTACTCTGTGGCTGGCTATAGATGCGTGGTTGGCCCCTAAAGTCATCTTCCTTGATCCTTCTTGCTGTTTCTCCCCAGATTTTTCCTATCTAGTCTCTCTGCCTGCTAGTCCTGCCTATCCTTTCTCCTGCTTTGTTATTGGCCATTCAGTTCTTTTATTACACCATCAGGTGTTTTAGACAGGCAAAGTATCACAGCTTCAGAGTTAAACAAATGAAACATTAACAAAAGTAACACACTCTTGAAATAATATTCCTCAACAAGTATCAATACGAAGTTTATATTTATTCACATATTAAAACAGCTTTATATTTTCATATTAATGTAACACAAATTTCTAAAGGTCTTATCATAAAAAACCCAGAGCCTGATATCGGGGTGAAAGCTGAAAGATCAAAGAAGCAGAGCAAGCCACAGCCACCACCTCTTACCTCACCAGCTCCTCAGCCTCTGACTGAATTCCTGAGTCCTCACCTGAAAGGATCCAGGTTTTTTATGATAAGACATTTATTATTTCTATTTCCTTGGTAATGTAAAATAATTTTACAAAGGGAAAATCTTGGACAAAAATTTCATATGTAAGAAAATCACATAGCTTATGGCTTGAGGTGGACAATAGGTAGGTATAGTGACTTTTGTGTCTGTGGGTATGTACCTGCTGTGATGCACATGTGGAGCAGAGAACAAACTTGCAGCTGGTTCTCTCCTTCTACTATTGAGGTTCCAGGGATCAAACATAGGTTACCATGTGCCATCATGTACTGATCCATCTTGTGGCCACACTTACTAATCTGGTCATTCATGCGGTAAAAAGACTTCTTTTGAAGCATATAATTACCTGAAGTGATTTGAAGAAAATACAATGTGGGAGGTGGTTCTTTTCAAAATTAATTAATTAATTAATTATTTCTGAGACAAGGTTTCTCTGTGTAGTCCTGGCTGTCCTGGAACTCATTCTCTAGACCAGGCTGGCCTCAAACTCAGAGATCCACCTGCTTCTATCCCAGTGCTGGGATTAAAGGCGTGCCACTACTGTTCAGGAAAGGTGATTCTTAAAACAGCCAACATGACCAAAACCCTAACCACAAAGTAGTGTGACAATTCATTGGACCTTCCCTATAACAGATTCTGACTATACCCCTATGAATACAGAAGGAACTGTGAAGATTATTCTGTCTCATGCTTTCTCAATTAGGTTTTAAATACAAACAGTTGACTAACTAAAAGCCTTAAGAAGTCTTATAAGTTGCTGTATGGTTATTTGATTTGGTGTGAAGATTCCTTTGAAGCACAAATTTAAAAGTGCATTAGTCAAAAATGTGTACTTTTGACGGCAAAAGTAGGTCACACCAGACAAGTGAACAAGGTTAGGTAATTATGTTGTAACTCTATGTAATCCCCAAAGTAACAGGAATGATTAAAATATTTTCTCACAACTCCTCCTTCTTAAGAAATGTATAGGTTGTTTACAGATTTGGTCTGGGTACACACTACCTTGTTTTAATATGAAAAACAAATCTGTAAAATTCATGCTTATATAAAACAACATTTAGAATATGTAAGTGGTTGCAACAAAACAGGAAGACAAACACTTTAAAATCTATCTCTTTAATATACCAAGTAATAAAATACTAGTATTTTATTTATGACAGGCATTTAAACAATATTTACAATGTTATGGGCACACATATCTACATTTTTACATCAAAGTTTTTGAACACAAAATCACATGTATGTATAAAACAACATATTGACAAACAACAGAAGACCAAATATATCTAGTCCATAGTTTTATGACTTCTAAATTTCCTTATTTTGAAAACAATAGGGGTAATTCGGTTCACTCTTTTTTCTAAAATGTCCTAATCAAGCTGTGGTAAAGTAAAACTAAACTGACATAATGCTGACTAGAGATTTTCAAGAGTAACAAATATTTGAGAAACGGGAAACAAAACCTGTTGTAATTTTATATTTACTTAAAAGACAGAAATTTCATGTTGTTTGATGAAAATATTTTAGTAAACAGTTTTAGATGGCCCTCTTTCAGAGACTTGAAATACATTTCAGCAGGGACAAATACGAGGCAAAGGACATCGATACTTCTTAGCGAACATTTTCTTTAAAAGTGTTTCTTCTTAATTTTCTAAGCATGTTTGAATTTTCTTTGTTGGTGTTTCTTTTATAACCTAGAGAAGAAATAAAGATGAATAAATATAAAGACATTTTCAAAACTCATTGTTCATTTAATTTATATAACAATTTATTGACAAAAATTTACTCTTGAAATTCATGGTTAATTAACACAACTTAAAATACAACAAATTTTCTGAGATTTCCATCTCTTGGTGAGAACTCAGAGCTTCCTGAGCTTTTTCCTCCTGACCTTCTCAGTCTTCCCTTCTATTCCATCTCCATTCCTTTGTGTTAGCCTCCAAACCACACAGACATCCTCTACCAGGGACTCCTAGAGGCCTAACAGGGCTGGGATGCAGAAGCATCCTCCCTACAACCACCACTTTCATAGCATCTAGAGTTGCCAACAGCAACCAAAGAATAGAATACCCACCAAACAAAGAAGAAGACCAGCCATCCATACAAAGAAAGACATCCTAACTCCAGATGTCTAAATCCTCTGCTCAAAAACCCAACCATGAATAGCCAAGAGAGTAGGTTTCCTCCAGGAGCAAGTAATCCTATGGCAGTAGGCCCCGAGAAATGCAATTTAGCAAAACACAGAACAAGGACTTAAAAAAAACAGCAAGGACAACAAAGTAGATATGAATAAATGCCTTCATGAAGACCATGAAAACACACACACACACACACACACACACACACACACACACACACACACACACAAATGAATGAAATAACAAAAACATTTAAATACATGAAGGCAGAAGTAGAATCACTAAAGAAAAACCCAAACTAAATAAAACTGGAAATGAAAAACTTGGAAGGTCTAACAGATTACAAGACACTGAAGAAAGAATTTCAGGTCTGAAAACAAGGTAGAAGAAATGGATAACCCAGTCAAAGAAAATGTTAAATCTAAAAATAATCTAAGCACAAAACATCTAGGAAATCTGGGCACCATGAAAAGACCAAAATTACAAAAAATATAGGGATAGAAAGAGAAGAAAGCCAGACCAAAGGCACAGATTTTTTTTTTTAACACAAAAGTCATAGAAGAAAATTTCCCTAATCTAAAGGAGGAGATGCCTAAAAGGGTACAAGAAGCATACAGACAACCAAATAGACAGGACCAGAAAAAAAGTTCCTCATGACACATAACAATTCAAATGGTAGATGTATAGAATGAAGAAAAGGTATTAAAAGCTGAAAGGGAAAAAGACCAAGTAACATATAAAGACAGATTTATTAGAATAATACCTGATTTCTCAGAAGGGCCTGCACAGATGTTCTACAAACTGAGAGACCACAGATGTCAGCTCAGACCATCATACCCAGCAAAACTATCAAACACACACACACACACACACACACACACACACACACACACACACACAATCACAATAAAACCAAATTTAATCATTTACTATCTACCAAACCAGCTATATAGAAGGTACTAGAATAGTGGTTCTCACCCTGTGGGTTGTGACCCTCTTGGGGGTTACATTAGATATCTTGCAGATCAGATATTTACATTACAATTCATAACAGTAGCAATTATAGTTATGCAATAACAATGAAACAACTTTACAGTTGGGGGCTACCACAACATGAAGAATTGTATTAAAGGGTCTCAGCATTAGGAAGGCTGAGTACTACTGCACTAGAAGGAAAACTTCAGTCTGAAGAGGTTCAAGAGACTCAAGAAAACACTAGTAGTCCCAGGACAATAAATCAAAAGAGGTGGAAAAGATACACACCATAACAACAAAGTAATAGGAATCAGTAAGCACAGTTCATTTATAAGTTTCAATATCAACATTTTCAATTTCCCAAAAACAAGACACAGACTAATAGATTAGATTAGAAAACAGGACCCACCTTTCTGCTGTATCCAATAAATACACCTTACCATTAAGGATAGACATCACTTAAAATGGAAAAAAGTATTCCAAGAAAGTGGATCCAAAGAGCAAGCAGGTGTAGTAGCCCTTTGAATATCTGACACAATAGACTTCAAACAGAAACTAATCAGAGGAAATATGGAAGGATACTACATACTCATGAGTGGGAAAGTCCACCAAGAGGATGCTGCAATTTTAAACATCAATGCACCAAATACAATGACACCCAAGTTCAGAAAAGAAACACTACAACAACTATAAAATCATTTATTTACTGTCCCACACTGATAATAGGTGACTTCAATACCCCACTTTCACCAAAAGATAGATCCTCTAGACACAAAATTAGACAGAAATGCTGGAATTGAATAATGCCATAAATCAAGTGGACCTACCAGATATTTACAGAACACGTAATCTAAACACAAAAGAATATATTTTCTTTTCACCAGATCATCGCACTTTCTCCAAAACGGACCACATACTTGGGTACAAAACAAGTCTCAAAAGATATTAAGAAAATTGAAATAACCCCCTACATCCTATATGACTATCTACTACTACTATTAGAAACTTCCATAAATATACACATATATGAAAGAAATCTAAACAGAGTCACCAAATAATGAGACAAAATACCTCAACTAGACATTTTATAACACCAAATAAAATCTCAGCGCCAGGAATGGGTTATATCTTGTTGAGTTATTGGTCTGAGCAACCCCCTGGAAACTCACAAACAAACAAAAGCTATTGTCAAGGCTATTGGTCACTCTCTACAACCTGACAGTAAGGCCCTATTGCTAAAGACAACATTTACTCATGCCACAGAACACTGAGAACTCAAGCTGATGCCTAAACTAGAAGCTTCATCCCTGCTAGCATTTGTAGTATTGAAAAGGATTCTGCATGCTACCAGACAAGAAAGGTAACCATCAATACCATGCAGCTATAAACCCTGTGACCTATGTATAAGAACAACAACCTGTCTATAAGATACACAGATGCATTAGTGGTACAAATGATATAGAAGTAACCAACCACTTTTTTTTTTGATTGGAATTAAGTCCCATTAAAGGAGACGTAACCTGAGGGATCTATGAGGACAAGAAGGTGGAAAGATTCAAGGAGCCAGATGTGATGGAGGACTTTAAGGAAATAGTGTCTTCTGAACACAACAGGAATGATGTCCAGATAAACTCACAGAGATTGTGGCAGTATGCCTAAGACCAGCCTAGGTTCAAGTCTGAGTGGGTACCAGTACTAAGAGGAGGAAGTAAATACTAACTCCAATCACTAATCAGGAAGCTATCTGTAATTGATACCCACTGACAAAGGGAAAGTCAGTTTTCTTCAATGGAGTCTTAGTGGATATATCAACCACACTTCAGGGCTAGCCCTATGCCTAGGAGTAATTGACCAAGATAAAATTAACTCAATGGTATTTTTGTTTTATTTTAGCATTTCTTTTTTGTTATTGGTCTTTTGCTTGTTTTGATTTTTATATTTTTACATTTCTTAGTCTTTCTTATGTTTTTTTAAGAGAGCCATAAAAATCATAAAGTTGGGTGGGTAAGGAAAATATGAAGGAATTGGGTGAGGAAAAAATATGATCAAAGTACATTGTACAAAAATATATTGAAATAAAGAAACTAACGTATATAGAAGAGAAAAAATACAACAGTAGCAGAGCAACATTAATACTGCTGGCTAAAAGTTTTCTACTTTCTTCATAATGTAAATAAAGTTTAGTGAGCACTTCTGATAAACAGATGTAAGTAAAGTCACTGAATAAACTACTTCAGTTTCCCCATTATCATCAACAGAAGAAAACGTGTGTAAGCTCTTGTTCCTTTCTTGTATGATTACTGTTTTCATATTCTTTGGATTATGTTCTCAGGCAGATCTCTGAAACTCTGTTGTTTGTGCCTCTGAACAAATCTCAGGGTCTCTTCCTTTCTGCTCTCAAACAGGGCCTCTCTACCTCCTCATCCTTTTGCCACTTAGGTTGCTGATACATGTTGTTGGTCATGTGATTTAGGTTTAGCGGCTCGTTTTCTTGTGTCTCTACTGCTCAGTTGACAATACTTGCCTTTCCCCTGACTGTTGGCCTTTGTCGTTTCACTCTTGTACATTATTAGAAACTCAGGTGAACATGATTTTAAAAAAAGCAGTTGTGTTTTCTTTCTAGTGATTTTTAAAATGTGTTTGGCTATTTTAGCTTACATATTCATTTTTATGAATATTTATCTTCTATTAAAATTGATAATCTCTAAGCACTCCATTCTCTTTAATCATATTTTTAACCTATTGTCTGATTTTAAAATCTATACAATAGACATATCTTTGAAAAAGTAAACAAGTATCAATTGTTATTACAGGAATTAGAAAAATTATTGAGGAAAAATAATAGCTTTCATTTTATGCAGGGGCATATACATTATCTCATGAGACTCTTTTAAATTCCAAGTGCTATAAGTTCCTCCAGAGAAGAAACCAGTCTTACAAATCTTTGTATTCATTCTGGGATGTAGCACAAGATGAATGCTTAACAAATTGTAGTGTCAAAGACCAGTCTGGGCCTTGTGGTCTAGAACTGGTTGATATAATCCATGCATAGTCAAACAGAAGGACTTTTGTTCCCATGGACTCAAGTCACTCCCACATGTGATTGAGGGTATGTAAGATCCTTCACTAACATCTTTTTTCAACTTGTCAGTGGGAGTAACAATATGATTATAGCTAGGAGCAAAGTAGAGACTGTATAGTAATTACATAAATGATTCAGAGGTCAGATGTAAAAACATAAGCACTGAGAGAAAAATTCCAAGTGGATATAATTTATTTATAAAGAATGGTTAATGAGCTAGGCAGGGTGGCACATGCCTGTAATCTCAGCACTGGGCAGCAGAGACAAGAGAATAACTAGTTCAAAACTAGCTTGCACTACATAATAAGGCCCTGCCTCAAAAACAATACATTTAAATATATACACACATATATGTAATTGATTCACTGTTTGATACATTTAACTATTACTTCAATCATTAGGTAGCTGCAATATGAAGTAGGCTATACAACAAAAAGAGGATGCAGAGTAACAGGTTGGGAAATCTGGTCCTCTACTTTAATATTTGTGCAATACTGAATACATGCTTCACAATGTATCATAAGTTTCCTTTTCTACAATGTATAAAAAATAAAATCACACCTATCCTACCACAAAGTATGAAGGGAGATATTTATGAAGACATAAAATCAAGGTACTAAATGTATAACAGATAATCATGTAATTAAATATCAGATTAACAGCTCAGACATACCCAATGCCAGTCTGTTTTCTTGCAAGAGCTTATCACTTGAATTATCCTTTCGAATGCGTTTGGCAAATCCATGATTTTCTTCGGATTTTAATGGAGCATTTGCTGTAGAACTTGTGGAGAAAAGTTTATTTTAGTCAAGGCATTCAAAAATTCTCTTAATTCATATGCTACATATTATAAGAAATTAAATACAGAAATAATAATTGTGAAATCCTGCATAATTGGAGGCACTAAAAGTACTTAAAAAATAAATCTAGTTATCTGTGATATTAATGATGCTAATATAATATAGATAAGATGATTCTGGGTACAGGTAACAGTTCTGCAGAATATTTCTCTTCCAGAACGAACATGAACACTGTTTGCTATTCACAGCATGGGAGAGATGTCATAGGAGTAAAAATTCACTGATGTTAAAGAATTAAAAAAATTAAAAATATTGTTAGGATTAAAATTTTATTTACAATTTCAACAGATAAAATTCAGTTTGGTAGATTTTGGAATATCTAGGACTTCTGGACTTTAATTTTCCTTTTTTTTAAAAAAAAACTAACAGTAGATAAAGTACACATGGGGAGGTTTTAATATTATAAAAGCATATTAGAACATATACACCCCTAAATATGTACATGAAATCTACTAAGTGGAAAATACCAGCGCTTATTACTTTCAAACTCATCTTTCTTTAATTGGGAGAAAAGGAAGATTAAAAAAAAAGTAATTATGTACACATCTATCATTAATCTCTTTTAACCTTAGTTAATGGCAGGATCTAATTATTGATACCAGAGGGAATGGACAGAGTAGTAACTAATACTCTGTGAATAGTCAAGTTACTTTCTTTATTATATTCTTTAATATTATTTCACAGTACTGGTTTCTCACGTGCCAGTCCTTAACACATATAAACCCACAAACACAATTTACACAAGCAGACATTTCAAGAAGACATGTATTTGATAATGACTGTGTTTATACTTCTAAGAACAGTCTTAGTATAAACATCTGCAACATTTTAATAAAAACATGGGAACACGTAAAAACCCAGAAAACTTAATATTAATCAGTGGGAACGGGTGGCTGAAACAGATGCTGACAGTTCACACTAGTCTAATAGAGTGAGCCAGACAAAGAGCACAATTCAGACTGACACCTGAGCAAAGTGCAGCAGTCCTTATTGGCCCAGAGAACACGGAGCACTATTACAAGACTGCCACTGAGTGAGTGGGGTCCCGAAAGCAGGGATGGGAATAAACCTAAAATACGCTTAGCATCAACTTCTACTTTTAGTTTAAAGGAAGCAGCTTAGGACTTCTGTTTGGAATACCCAGCTACCAGAATCAGTTAGTTGTCTTTTGTACACCGGAAATTCTTTTGTAAAGTAAGTGCTATGTGAAACCGAGCTCTGCTTATTCCATGACAGTTCTAAATGTTAGTACTAAGTAGTTTACAGTAGGTAGCAAATATGGCATGGAGATATTGGATAAGGGATGGCTGCTATAACATACTACTTAGAATGGCATGCAATGAAAATTTGTTAATTCCTGGAACTTTTCATTTAATATTTTCAAATCTTGGTTGACTTTTGGTTCCTGAAATAGAGAGCAAAACCATGAGCTGAGGGGACTACTGTATAACTGTTTAAGCGTCACAGATAGAGACAGTCAGGAAAAAATCAATTCATCTGTTTCAAGGTTCCTTTGTCCCATGTTTTGGAAGGGCAAGAGAAGATTCTAAATTTATTTATGAGAAAATACTTCATGAAGTGTGAATAACTATGCTATTTGTACATTTGTTCCTGTGGCCTAGGTAAGAAATTTAGAAGAACTAACTTTAGTTGTTATACTTTTCTCTGTATACTATTGTAAAAAAGGGGTAGAAAAAAATCAGACCATTTCATATGTAGTTAGTATATTTTGTTATTGTATCCATGACACATCGTACAACTTAGGCTATTGTGCTAACCACTTCTGGGTTTTTAGGACTTTCTCAAATTGGTGATTCAATGGCCTTTGTCAACTCTGTTTTAGAAAACTATAAGCCACTGTTCTCAAGTATTGTTTTTCCCTATTCTTTCTCTTCTTTTAGAGACTGAAAATACTATTTCCAGACTTAAATAATTAGGGTTCTGTAGGTCTCTTCCAAACTTCTTTTTCTTCCTTTATTGGTTTAGGCATTTTTCTATGCACCTACCCTCCAGCTCATTAATACTCTCTTTTGTTGTGACTAATCCATTGAACTGGTTGATTGAGTTATAAATTTCATCTTATAATATTTATAGTTATAAAATCCATCTTTGTGGTTCTAGGATATCTATTTGATTAATTTTAACAAAATACTGTTCTTTAGTGAACTTTATCTAATCTGCTGAAATCAATAGTTCCTATTTACTCATCCTTATCTATAGATCATTGCTTCTCTGATTGCTTTTCCTTCTTGACATTCATAATTTTGGTTTAAAATTATGTATGAATATCTGCATAGGTTCTAGATAGCATATTCTAGAGATTTTTAATTTTAGTTTAGAAGACTCTGGAACAGACAGATCACCTGAATTTAAGCAAAGACTGAGTTGGTCTAAGATCTGTGAGCTTGTTAGAACTGGTTTATTTCTGGTTTGTCCTAATCCTAGGGCACAGCACCTTGAGGATTTCAAATACAATTCTGGGGTGTTTAACAGGCCCTGTTCTACCATAGCTTTTGACCTTGCACCTTTGTACTACAGACTGTATTACTCGAACAAACAAGTAAACAACTGTTGTCAGGATAAAAGTAAGAGCTAAGTGACAGTCTGGAAGCTAGAAGACTTTTCAAATCATTTTTAATAACCTAAAAATGGGATACTTTATATAAACTTCAAGTGAAACCTTGGGCTTCATTCAGATTTCCGCTCAATAACATAATTTCAGGGCTTCACTGAGTACTTAGCATAGATAGGATTAACTAAAAACTGAGAGTCTGACCATAATTGAAATTGTGGGAAATGAAAATATAAAGATGATCTTCTACAGAGACTGAAAGAGCACGTGCTTAATCATACCTTATTAATTTCCTTTTCCTTGTTGCAGCAGTAGTCATGGCCATGTAGGATGGCACACTTGTTGATACAGGCCTAGAATCCTTAGTTGAAAATGAGGAAGATTCAAGCCTGGACATTAAGAATGAAGAATTAAAAGAGAACAAATTTGATTTATACTACAAAGAGAAAAATGATTTACAATTCTATAATCAGGAAACCATTGATATTAATACACATAGAAAGATATTCCTCTCTATAGAAAGATCCCTCAATTGCATTTTCTTTTTTAAAAACAGCAGTGATGATGTGAAAACATTTCTGCATTTCTAATAGCAAAGAAATGTAGAGGTATTTTTTCTCCTACGTTTAGATTGGCTGGAATTATGTAGTCGAATGCTTGCTTAGATGACATTCAATCACACACTGGATGTTGGGCTATGCTGAATTTTGGATATTCCTTAAGTGAGGCAACGATGACTAATAGTAAGCAAGGTAGACCTTCACTGATAGCTTAGGTTACACAGTATCAGAATAAGGAACACAGATGAAATATATCTCAAGGTCTCTTCTGTTTAAGGAAGGTCAATTAACATCGGATATCAAATTTATGATCTAAAAAAGTGGACAGTGTATCCATACTCAATTAACCTGTAGTAAATGAGCAACTTTTAAAACAAGGAGAGGACACTTGATCTATGAAGTAATCCTCCCATATAAACAAAGAGAGAAAGGACATTAACAGTTTCAAAGGCTTTGAAAAAAAACAGGATTGTAAAGTATTCTCTTTCTGTACCTATGTAAACTGCTTTTGCTGTTTTGTAGTGATTCTTGTTCAGGCAATTTATTCTTCAAGCTCCCGATGTCATCACATATAGTAAATGTAGAGTCCAAATCCTGTTTACACTCTGTTCTCCTGTTGAGAGGAGAATCTACTTCACACGGCGTTTTCAGAGAATTATCATTGATCATATTTGTAGTATGTGATGAAGGTCTTATTAAGGCTGGAGATGGGTTTTGAAGAGGTTTTCTGCAGTCCTCTGGGGTATAAACAATAGGCTGAAGTTCTTTGCTGAAAGAATCATTGAGCTGTGTACTTTCAGACAGTATAGACTTCTGAGTATATTTTACGTCCAAGGAAGAAGGTATTAATTTTCTTCTGGTTCTTTTTTGTGGAGTAATATTAAGCAAGTTAGGTTCACTTGAGGATGTGCCTGTTCAATAAAATTATAAAATTAAAAAGTTCAATAATGTTGCCTCAAAAGTTATTTCAAAAATCACAATGGTTAAGGAAATAAAATCACTAAGAGCACATCTACCATTTGATAGAAATCTTAAAGAGGATAACTAAGTAGGAAAGGAATAAAATATGGCTAATTACTAACAACTTTAATAGTAAATTTGCTGTATAGATTTAAGAGTATGAATTCTGACTGCCAATAGATATATATGCATAGCTATCTTTAGATACTGAGTAATCATAAAATCAAACTTCCAACTATTTCTATCAATTCACAAGCAATTTCCAGCATTCATGTTTGTCCTAGGGTTAAGAACAAGAATGTTGGTAGGTACAGATATGAATAATTATCTGAATATCAAATAATACTTGCTTCTTAGGACTAAGTGGCAGTCTTGTCTAGATAAACAAGAAAGCAATACCCAAGAAAATCTCCTTTTCCTTTGTATTTGTCAACACCTCCACAAATTCTATGTTTTAAAAATACTTACAATTGTGATTGTATAATCCTTTTAATTAAGAGCTTTTAGTAATCTTTAATAGGAACACACTAAGGCAATTTTTGGTGCTTGATCCAAAATTATAAAACAAGTTGTTCTGGTAGAACTTAAAGTGAATTTTCAGAGTCCTAGAAATACTCTCAGCATATAAGTATAAAAACGTTTCTCAAATGTCTTTTATTAGTGTCCAAAATAATAAGTTTATAACAATAGGATTCATGAATTCTAATATATTTATCTTACATATACCTGCTACATGGCAATGAACTTCAAGAGACCTGACATGAAGTGTATTAGCTTAGTATAACTTCTCACAGAAAACAATTATGTGTTATTTCCACGCATTTTTAAAACAAGGCAGAAAAGCTCCCAATTGATGTTACATTTGCTTTATTAGTTAATACTATGTAAATACTGATAGCAGAACCTATGTATTTTAGTAGGGCAATTCAGAACTCCTGCTAAGTTAAAAATACATGTATGGCAATTACCAGCTGTATGTGCATTATTCTTATTATGATAGTTGACAATTACCCTCTAGGAAATACAATTTGAAAACAGGAAGAAATAATGATCTCCATTCTACTAAGGAATTTGACTTTTCTGAGAACTAGATAAATGAGATCTAGATCTTAAAATAATTTTCCACTCCCTTTAACATGACATTTGTCAAATTTTCCATTACCAGATATTTTTATACTAATGCTGCAGTGTAAAGACAGTAACTCTTCTCCACTGTGCTGCCACCACCAATTTGGTGGCTAATAATAGCGGGAAGATTAACTTCTTTTCCCATGGGAGACACAGGGTAGAGAAGACAGAAAACTATATTGAGGATAGAGAACTGAGTCGGGAGTCAGGAGACTGGAATTCTATTTCTGGTTTTACCAAAGACCCAGTGAGTGACCTTGGGCAACTCACTTTAAGTAGTGTGCACATTAGTACCATGTTGAAAAACAGAGATATATTCAATTGCATAGAAAAAAGATTTTCTAGGATTAGATGATAGGAACATTTAGGGTTCAATGAAATGCTCTGGAAATAAAAGAAGTGTTTCAGATTAAAGAATTACAATTTTAACAAGGGGGTAGTTTACTTACTTTCCAATCCTTTATCAATAATCAATTCATGTTATTTCTATAATACATTTCAAACAATGCCTTTCAAATGATAGATATAAAGTTTACCAAGACTGACAATAAATTACAATATAAACCAAATGAATTGTTGAAAGAAGGACATAAATGTGTTATTTGCCATGTCAGCATAACATACAAAAGTTAACACATGGTACAGAAAATCTCAGGACAGTAGAGATAGCCGTCATCCCCACTCTTTTTCTATATATCTAATGGGAATAATCTCCAGTGACCTGGCCACTGAACATAATAGAGGACTACTTCTTCCCTATAGCAAGTAGAATATGAAAATGAGAATCTTCCATAAGACACTGAAAAGACAGCTACCTGTCTTCTGGGATAATCTAAACACAGATGCAACACCAAATTTTCTATGACCAGAATAATAACTAGAGAAAGAAATAATAACTTCATAATGATATATTTTTAGCTATACTTTTGCACTCTGAAATGTTAACTTGGAGAAATGTGATATTTTATTTGTGTTTTAACAAATAAAGCTTGCCTGGGGATCAGAGGTCAAAGCCAGTCACTATATCAAGCATAGAGGTCAGGCAGTGGTAGCACACGCCTTTAATCCTAGCATTCGGGAAGCAGAGATTCATCCAGATCTCTGTAAGTTCAAGGTCACACTGGGAACAGAACCAGGTGAGGTGGCACACACCTTTAATCCCAGCACTAGTTAGCCACAGAGGTCTGGAGGTCTGTACAGACAGACAAGAAGTGATAGAGCTGGGCGGAGAGAGGAAGTAAGACTGCAGGGCACAGGAAGGTATATAAGGCGTGAGTATACAGGAAGTAGTTCTCTTGGGCTGAGGATTTCCTAGTGGTAGAAACTTGTGGCTGGCTTGTACTGTTCCTCTGATCTTTCAGCTTTCACCCCATTGTCTTGCTCCAGGCCTTTTATTAATAAGTCTGTTTAGCAATTTGTGTTACAGAGGATAGACATGCAGGTGTAGTAAACATGGATTATTACTGATTGTTATGCTTGGCTTGAAGAGATACTATGGATATCCAAAATATATGAGATAAAGCTTTTTTTTCTCAGCTTTCAATTTAATTTTAGATAAAATAATGAGAGGGTAGATAGTCAATTTAAGACCACACAGGTGGAATAGCTGATAAGAAAGGTTTAGGAGACAATAAAAGCAAAAACAGTATTCAAACACTTCCACAAAAATTAAACATTCAACTTACTGTAACTATATACAAGGTTAGGACCCCACCTAATGAAAACTTAAAACATACAAGATAGGACATTTCATTTTGAAGAAGCTTTCTACAATACAGTGATTATTTAGGAAGGTACAACAAGTGGAAAATGTAAGGTTAAGGCTACTATCATCTATAGGCTCTAAGATCTACTGAATATGCTAGGCCTGTGTTGACAAAAAGGATTTGCTGTACTTTTCCATTAGAAGAAAGGGGTATACAGTAAATTTCCAGAAGAGCTGGCTTGGGGCAGATGTACCTAATTCAGCCTGAGAAAATGTTATCTACCAAGTGGAGATAATGCTATTTATCAAGATTCCATAATTCTCAAACTTACGAGTGTAGAAGAGATAAAAAGGAACCTGGAAGGAGACTATATTCCTTTATAATGTCTCCATAAAAAGCCAGAAAAGATGGTATATGCCTATACATAGTGCCTATAATCCTAGCACTCAGGAGGCCAAGCATGGAGACTTGAGAGTTCAAGGCCAGTCTGAGTTATACAGCAATGTTCTGTCAACCAACCAACCAGTGGTTAGCATGGACAAGAGATGAAACAGGAACATCATTTACAGCCTGCCTCTACAGCTCGTGTGAAAAACGACAACAGCTTGGACAAGGTAGTTACAGCAGTGATGGAGAATAATAAAAAAGCATGTTAGAATCAAATTAGATGCAAATGATATAAAGCATGGTTTGTTGTCCATCAGAGGGACCAAAGGTAAGTAGTTCAGGTAAGGAGTAGTCACTTCTGAATATCAGTGAGTATTGATTCCAGAATGGTTCCCAAACACCAGCTGCCATTCAAATATCTTATACAGTGGTGGGTGGGAGGTGAGGAGAAGTATCACTATGTTGTCCAAGATCACATTAATTAAGATCAAAAGGATCCTCTTGTTTCAGTCTGGAGTAGCTGGGACTACAGGAGTGTAATTCTATGCCCAGCTGTTCATAAGTAAAAGCATACTTACAATAACTTCACCTGACCTAAGAGGAAAATATAAAGGAATGGCAGATAGTCCGGAAGCTACATCCTCCAGTATTACACAATTTTAGCTTCTACTACAAGGGTAGAATTAAATCAATTAGGGAATAGCTAAGTGAAACATAGAACATTCACAATTTCACTGTTACATAAAAATAATTTTTATGGATTTGGTATACAAGAAATACCTGTTAAATGAAGTGGTATATGGATTTTGTAAACATCTTGATCATAATTTTGACGAAACAAAGCAAAAGGTCACCTAATACAAATGAAGGCATAAAGGCAGAGCAGAAGGAAATACAGGAAGTACAATGTGTCAATGTATTATGACATCACTAGGAAAATGACTGCTTTATGTAATATACATGACAACCTCTAAAACACACACACACACACACACACACACACACACACACACACACACACACACACACACACACACACCGGTAGGAGTGATGCCTGAGGTAAAGTAGGAAGAAGAGAGCTGTTTGTTCAGAAACCAGCTCTTTTAAGCCCAAATAACTAGAGGCACGAGGTTATCTACATGGTGCAGATAAAACATGAAAATTAATTTAAAGTCTGTATAAAAAATTGAGACCCTGAGATTCTTCATGTGTGATTCTTTTATTTTATCATCTGCATTACCTAATAACTTTTGGCTTTTTATCTTGGTTCAAAGGCATGTGGTGCAGAGTTAAAAGGGTACATGGAAACAGGAAGGGTTAATCTGGAGTTGGGGAGCATACTGTAAGGTAGAAGAGGGGTATAGATTATGCAGAGGATAACATTAAAGACCTTTTGAAAAAGATAATGGAAACTTACTACTGCTAAAGCTTCCTAAAGTACACACACATTCATAAAGAATTAAAATGGAGTTACCCTGTAAAAGGGCAACAATGTTCCTACAACCAGAAGCTAAAAAAAATAAAAATGCAGTGCCAACAATGGGTTAACTTCTGTTAGTTGGCCAGTATGGTCCCACAGATCCCCAAACATTATAGGCCACTGGCATTGCTTTTGGTTGCCATCCAGATCTTCACAGTAAGATCCTATTGTTGAATACACCACATACTTGAGTCATGAACTTGGCAAAATCAGTCTGGTGATGACTGAGAAGCTTTATCTACTGACTAGT